AAATCATGACGATGCGACGCTTTGCGACGGATTTTTATGTGAAATTAGGTTTTTTTTTGCAGAATTTACGAGCGGTATTGTAATGGGCTAAAAATGCAATCACTGTTACCATTCAAATGGTACATGACCGTCTATATGGTCCTGCAATGAGATCAACAAACAGATCAAAAAGGACTTTCTTTCGAAAGAATATGCCTGTGGGATTTTTTATTAGCTGGGTGTTGGTTGGTCAGTTGAATGCCGACGATGCCCTTGAGCACGAACGGTTGTGCAAAATGAGTGGGCCATGTTTCTCTCTGGTAATAGTCCTCTGGCTATTGAGTAAGATATTGACGTTCAGAAAATCATTGAATCGTATGGCACAGATGGTTCGTTACCTCGATTTATTCGTGATGCGATAACTTTTACACCCATCATAGAACTGAAGAATACTAGATAAGCATGTTTCATGTAGTGATAAACTGCTAGTTTTGACGACTGTGTTATATAGTTGATAACTATGACTATCAGTCGCGATTGAGCAATTGCGAAGTTATCACGGCCGTGACCTCATTAAGACGTATGGGTTCATTTTTCAAACAAGTCCTCCATAACCAGTCGCGTGAGTTACGTATGAGTAAGAAGTCGAAAAGGGGGCAAGAACAGAAAAGAGAAGTGCCCAATGCTCCAGGGTAAGTTGCTGTTCCAGCTGCCACAACACTCTCCTTATAGTTACTCTACAGGACTGTTAGTATTTTTGATGATGTGCTAGGTTCCATCACATCACTATTCACCTCTAATAATGCTGAAAATGTATCAAACCGCAAGAAGGTGAGACCAAACGACGGTTGCTTTTTAATGCTTAGTTTCATAGCGGGTCATTAAGATTGAAAGGGTCTGTAGCCCATTTGTACTTACCAATGAGAAGCTCGAGCAGGTTATGACGGCGTTGGAAAAATCCATGGAAGAGGGACTATCGAAAGAATCCGGTCAGAAAACCTTGCTATATCAATTAAGATCAGCTTGAAGCTTCAGGAGATAAAGCAAGCTTAAAAATGCTTCCCACTTATGTACGTGCGGTTCCGAATGGCGAGGAAAATGGCGAATTTCTAGCCTTAGATCTTGGTGGCTCACATTTCCGCGTACTCTTCATCAAACTCAATGGACGAGAAGCTGAGATGACAGGAAAGATATATCATGTTCCTGAGAACTTGCGAAAAGGAAGTGGTACAACTGTAAGTGCTGTCACTCAGACAAGCATGAAAGTTCAAAAAGTTGGATACAAAGATTAAGAGATGACGCTATTGACCCGTACAAAATTTTTGATTGAAAAAAATGGAATATATTCAACGTATGCATCTCATCATCATTTGCTGGCATCTAAGTAGAGGAACTGCACATAGTTGATAGAGTTTCAAAGCAATGAGTGGGTTTCCTACTCTCTAGGGAAGATGTGTTTCTGTAACATTGATATACTTACTTAGATACTTAGATGACCTGCACTCGTCTGCAAGCCCCACCATAGTTTCCGTCCGTTTCTGTTTCTTGCTAGCATCATCCGTGATGTTGGTATTGAACTGAGAGGGCATTCGCGAGGTCCAAATCCACTACTCGTAACCAGCTGAGAATTCAGCTGCGCAACGAACACGTTAGCCCATCTGACCGGTGGCTTTCATCGAGGACGTTTTGCTTTGCGAGGAGTTTATTCTAAAGCTCTTAGTGTCCATCTGTCGTCTGTCCTTCTCATTATATGACCAGCCCATCGATGCTTTGGCTTAGAGACGTATTCCGCTGAATCGCGAAGACGAGACATCGATCTCATATCTGAATTGCGAAGTCCGATTGTACTTCA